CACGTGCAGTCCATAACACAGCAACCAGAAAGTTAATTTCCAGGGATCGAGAGGGTGGGGGATTACACTTGAATAAAAGTTCCTCAGTGCTGTGCTGCAAAAAACCATCCTGCAATCGACAAAACCAGGAATGCTCCCTTGCAAATTTCTTTTGTAAATTGATTTTAGCACCAAATACTGAGTGAAAGCGGGACATTTGCAAACCGTAACTGTAGCACTGGAGCAACAGTGTTACAGCAAGTCTTGAAATGCTGAAATCCAATTTCTGGCTTGTTACTGGCGCTTCCACGATTTCACTAGTGGGATTTTACAGTCGACTCTTTCGGCAAGGCTTATGCTTGAAAAAATGAGGCCAAACCGCTGTGTAGGAAACTTTTAAAAATTTGTTTTTGGCTCCGCTTTAATACGGTTCCAAATATCCCAAACTCAATATAACTTGTCTTCACAGAGCGCTCAGATGAAAAGTAAGTAACTTGTTTCCCCAGTCAGTTAGGTGTGAGAAGCAATTTCTTCATTTTGAACATTTTGATTCAGCATCTCTCAAACATGCTGAAATCGCTGTTCGCAGTAGCTGTTCTCGAAATGCTGGTTGTGCAAAGCATGTGGATGCGCGAAGATCTACCAGGTGAGATCGTCGATAGACAACCTCGGCATTCTGCCAGAGTAAGTGTTTCATCTTGTGGAATTTCTTGTCGGCCTTTCCACATGGTACCACAGCTGACTTTAGTAGATCACATATGATCAGAAGCGGCGGAAACGTGGCCATTGTCCACACAGTCTTCAATAGTAATCAATAGCCTTCGACCTCTAGCATTAGCCGTTTACCTGTTAAAGCAGAACCTCTCTTCTGGAACTATTTCGTGCCCGCATGCGACCTTACGAATTTAAATTCACCTACCGCTTTTGCCTGGTCGTACAGACACACATGAGATTTGGCAGGGAGTTTTCAGCTTGGGAAGCATGCATTACAAAAGGCTAAAACACCAGAAGAATGCTACATGTTCAACAACTACTTTAAATATTTGAGGGTGGTTTTTAGGAATGCCTCCCTCTCAAGTATATATACATAAAAGTC